TGTCAAAAAATGAGGGAGTTTTCAATGGGAGCTAGGCAATGGCTGCATTCAATGCGAGCGCTTTTGCCAAAGGCCTTCTCCTTAATGGGTTCCCCGAAAACTATGGGCCACAAGCAGACTGTGCGTAGCTGAGAGGGCTTGGTTCCAGCTCACGGTGGGTTGTGTGTGTCCTGAGAGGTCTTGCCTTTGGTCAATGACTTGAAAGAGAGAGATTGAGGAAGAGAGAGAGAGAGAGAGAGCGCTTGCCCATTGCACAGTTCTTGTTGGTATCTGTTTCTCTGCACAGGGACAGCTTCTTCCTTATGGCTGTTCTCAAACCAAAAGGAATCATTCTGGTCAAGCAAATCTCCTTCTTCATTCTTCCTGATAGGAGAGAATGTGGAAAAATAACCTTTTGTGCAGGAATGAAAGGGATGACATGGCGGGGGTGTGTGTGAGTGGGGAGGGCTAGCTTCGTGTTCATTGCTCAACGCATGGCTTCTGAACCCTTCTTGGTGGCCATACTGTGTTGGGAATCAGATGGCCAGTAACAAAACTGCCTGCCCATTGGGGTCTTGGCTGTGTACACCTACCTGTTCATGAAGTACAATTTGTTTTGCACTGATATAAAAACTAAGCAACAAACATACAGAAATCTGTGGTTTGCGGTGGCACTTTTGCAACCAGAAGATTTATCCTATTGTGAGCTTTTGTGGATTAAAAGCTACTTTTTCAAATACATGGAGTACAAGATTCAAGCTGCAGGCGCACAGAACCCACAGTGGGCAGGGTTGGCAGGAAAGGGATGAGCCTAACTTCCTATCAATGTCTAACAGCCCAATTTGTGACTATTGTATTAAACCACAATTGACGCCATCTTGACGTACTGGAGAAAAATTAGAATAATGACCATGGCTGAGAAATCCGTCTGGAAACAACGGGAACAGCTAGAGCTGCCCTGAGTCCAATTTTCAGGAAAGCGAAGACATAAATATAGAAATAACAGATAATAATCTGGGAAACCGGAGTCCTCCAGTGAAGCCAGGAAGAGTTCCCCTCTATCTTCAAGAGTTTAGCGATTCTCTTCCATCTTTGTCCAAAAAGGGAAAGTCGAATCTAGGTTTGTAGAAAAAGCATAAATGGTTCTCTCCTAGCTCTTGAGAAAGTGGATGCACAGAAAGCCAGGCAGATTTTTTTCCCAGCACGTTGACTTTGAAGAGGAAGGCTCGTTCCTGGGGTTGTCTCTATTAGGACCTGCGGGACCTTTTCTGACAAGCAAAACAGGACTCCAGGAATTAGATGAGTGTTTGCTGTCCAGGTCTGGTAGAAGAAAGAGGTTATTTGGGCACACGTCACTCCAGCTTCAAGTGTTTTGGAATGGAAACAGCCTTGATGAACACAGAGAGAGGTCTTCTCTGGGCCCACGAGAGAGACGGAACGGCTGAGCCCCACTGATTCTCTTTCCTCGAGTTCTTGAGATCTTCATCTATGGTGCCTTTCTTGATTGGTGGTGTTTTCTGAGAGGAGGACATGGAGAACGGAAGAGGGGTCTTCTCCAAACCCCTGGTTTTGTTTTAGTCAGCTCCTTGATGCATGTCGGCTTTACTCTCTCTCTCTCTTTCTCTCTCGTCTGCTCCTGACTCTGGGCTCTGCTTCACCTACTCAGCTGGTGTTGTTCATGTTTTTTTTTCCTATTTGTATCTCTCTCCATTTACTATAGAAATGATTCAGATGGCCGTGCCATTGAGGGATCTGCTTCAGACAAAGTCAATACAACGGAGGTCATCTTAGTTCCTTTTTCACAGGTTGGTTATTTATTTACCCTAATCTGTGATGCTTCCTTCTTTTCCTTCCTTCCTTCCTTCCTTCCTTCCTTCCTTCCTTCCTTCCTTCCTTCCTTCCTTCCTTCCTTCCTTCCTTCCTTCTCTTGCTTGTAATAGGCTCTCCAGAATCATCCCTAGATGTTTTTAGCATTTAATCAGGTTCCCTGTAGTCACTCAAGTGAAGGCGATGCTCATTTCACTCCTGAGATACTGTCTAATAAGTGGTTTCATGTGAAGGGACGGAGCCTTTCAGGTGAATACTCTTTTGATTTAAGCTTTGGGCGCCGCTGTTTTGGGGCACTTCGCTGTTCTGTCCCTGTTCAGAAGTGGGCAACTTGGACTGATTTTTCTGTCCAGAGGTGCCTCCAGAGGGCGGCAAAAATTACAAAAAAAACCCTCAAAATCTAAACAATGCAGCAAGAAGTGGTTGGGTGTGCAGTTTTTTAAAGAACTATCAGCATTCTTGACTTTATTTTTTAAAAAAAGAACACATTTTGAGTGGCAAATATTTAGAAATTTTACATTTTTGTTTCTGTTTTCAATTAAGGCAGAAGAAAAAGAAGAAAAAGAAACCATACCTATTGCACCTGAAGGTAACAAAGCCCCTGAGAGCAAATTTGTGCAAGGCAGGATCCGTTTGAAAAGTGAAGGAAACATGTCCGGTGTTAGTTGTTTTTGGCTGTCCCGTTGATTCTGCCCCTGTCAATGAGCACCCTCCCAAAGCCCCCCCCCCGTCAGCAGCAGCCTTCCTTAAGTCTTGCAGACTCCAGACTGTGGCCTGATGCTATCTATATAAACCGTTATCCGGTTTAGCAGCACAAAGAATATTTCCCAAGAAATATTGGAGTTGACAGAAAACGCAATGCAGCTGTAGATTTCAGCCTGGTCCCTCGTTTGGTGAGAATGGGGCTTGGTTCTTTTGGATGAGTTGCTTTCTTTTCTTCATCACGTTTTCACGTTCCTTCCTCCACAGCCCAGATATTAAGGAGGATAGGAAGGGCTTCCAAATTGAAAAAAGCGGGGGGGGGGGAATATTTCTAGGAGGCCCTTTCTGGAATTTGCTCACCTTCTGCTTAATCTCTCTAGGCTCACCTCTAGGATTTAAAGCCTGGAAGTAAACCATGACATATGAACACCTGGTTCAGGTTCTCCCCCTGGATCCCCTTCTTTCAAATTCAGTTTATTCAGGAGCAGAAATGTGCTAAATGGCTACTAAAGTACAATAAAACGTTAGCATCTGGGGGCCAGAAACAGAACGTGAAGCGAGAGGCTGTAATTACAGCCAAAGGCAGAGTCCGTGTTGCATGTTTGGGAAAGTGGACTTCAAAGGAATTCCTGGTGTAAGTCCTGAAACTGAACCCCCAGATCAAGCCAATTAAGCTGCCGAAAGCCAGGGCTGAGAGGCGCTGGGATGCTCAGACACCTCCCCTCTGCCAGCCACAGGCTCTGAGTCAGAGGGGGGTGGTGAGATACTGACTCTCTGCCAGCTGTTTTGGTAACAAGTTGGGGGGCATTGCCAGAGGTGGCATCTGGAAGCCATGAGTGGGTTTGGCCGGCCTCCTTTTGGAGCATGCAATCTCGCCACGGTTTCTGTTGGGTTTATTCTCATCTTCGCCACTCCAGCTCTGCATGGCCTGGCTTGACAAAGGCTTGTGCGCAGCTGAAAGTTAGCGTATAATCATCGTAGAAGGGCAGAGCTGGAAAGGACCCTCTGGGTCACTGGGTGCAGCCCCTGTGAGGAATCAAACTCCCAACCTCCGGCTCCGCTGCCAGAGACCTAACTCTCTAAGCTGTCCAGATGTTCGCTGGACACCCCATGTTTTCAGTGACCTTTTCGGTGGTCTAATAAAGGGATCGCCCACCTTTGCCTTCCGATTATATAAGGACCTCTCTCCCCAATATTTTATTTCTCTCTCTCTTTTAATATCTATTTCTGACCTCCCGAGATTTGTTTCTGTAAGAGCTTAAAATGTGTTTGGGGCTGGGCTGGGGGGTGATTAGCACGTCTCTCTGATTAAAACTGGCCCTGAAGTTGAGCTGCCCTGCAGAAAGCGACGGCTGCTTTGGAAATCAGCCCGGCCGTCTTTCTCACCCAGCCTTGTGGTTTTTATTGCAGCTTTGGATTCCTGCCCGCTTTGCCTAAAGCGCCCGGCCGGCTCCCACCATGGCCAAACCAAGCCGCGATCTCGAGTTAGCTCGCTTGGTCCCCGACCAGCAGCTCGGTCCTCCGAAGGCCTCTCCTGGTCCTCCCGGCCCGGCTGAGCATTTGCCCAACGTACCCAGCTACCACTATGCCGCTGCCTCCCGCATCCCTGTCCTTGTCTCCAGAAAGGCAAAGGCGGGTGTGACGAACCCCGTTTATGGGAAGGAGAATGTGCCCTTCTCTCACACCCAGGGTAATGTAGCCTCTGCCGTGGCTTTGTAGCTGTCGTGCTGTTTGTGTTGAACTTATTTCACGCTCTGCTCTCAGGTCTTCTCAGCTTAGGGTTAAAGCATTGCACATCCGAAAACCAAAACCTCCAGGGGAGGGGTCTGAGTTGAAAGCAAAGCAAAGCTGCCAATATTTTGGCACCTTCCAAGGCCAGAACATTTACGCCACATCATTTCATCTGGAGTCCGGTTTCATTACCTGTATGGTCTCATCCTTAACGGACGGGCATTATTAAATGCTGATCTGGACTTGAATCAAGATGACCTTCTTGTTGGTTTCCTTAGCTGTGCCAAGAAGATTGTCTTGCTGTCACTGACTGCAGCCGGAAGTGGATGCTATGCTTATTTTTTGCATAATTTAATTGCCCTCTCACTGTCAACAGACGAAGCCGTACAGTTGAGGAAGAGGACTCAGTTTTAGTTGCAAGCAAAGCTTTCTTGTAGACGCCCTCCTGCCCATTCCCTCTTGGAAGTAGGTGGGACCTTTTCTCAGCTTGTGCGCCTAGATCTCCTGCAACATCTCCTTGGCAGAAGCTAAGAAACAGTCCAGCCACTCCCACAGTGGCAGAAGGAAAGGGCCGGGTTGTGGTGGCCCTCGCCCCCTGCCTCCTCTAGCTCTCAAGCCTTGCAGAAAACCTGCCCCCCCTTCTGCCCTTTACATTCTCAAGTTAGCTCAGCAGAACTGGCAAAGGTTTTTCTAGAGCTCGGGAGGTGTCTGTGGGATATCCCTGTGTTGTTCTGCTGAACTCAGAGAAGACCCCCTGCTTGCTGGCCTTGCTCTTGCAAAGTGCTTTCCCTCACAAACAGTTCTTCAGAGGCAGGCAGGATACGTCCCTCAGCAGTTGCTGGGTGGCCCTTGGCTTTGCTTACTACTGTGTAACTTGTCCGTTTTTCCAGAGGAGTAAGCAAGCAAGCAAACAAGCAAGGTGCCACTGTTCCAGACGTCTAGTAGTCTATACTAGTCTATATGCATGTCTGGAGGGATACAATCAATGTAAGTGAAATACTAAATATTTGTGAAAAAAGGAAAGGGTCCATAAACAATGGCTCTCCCACAGTATGCAGAAGAGTCAAAGCAGGCATCGTGTGATTGGCCTTTCTAATGTTGACTTTATCTCCCTTGGCTTTGCTTACTACTGTGTAACTTTCTAAAGCAGTAAGCAAGCAAGCAAGCAAGCGAGGTGCTTGGCCTTTCTAATGTTGACTTTATCCGGCTGTTGTTCTTTTCTTTTCTGGTTCAATGGCCAACTTTCCTCCTCAAGGACAGCCACCAGCTCCTGTGAGCGCCCAGACGGTGGGTCCAAAGATCAGCTCTCCCTGGCTCGCCGTCCCGGCCCTCCGTGCTCCGCCTTCCACACGAAACAAGCCTGAAACCCTCGCGGTCCCGGTCAGGCCAAGAGCTCCCGAGAGGTATCAAACCTGAGTTTGGAAGCACCAGAAATTAGGTTTCAGACTCTCCTGTTCCGAATCACTCCCTCACCCTTCCAACCAACCAGGGGCTCTTTCAAAGCAAATGTGTTTATTTTTTTAAAAAATCATTCTTTCTTTCTTAAGCTGAGCTATTCACTACATCCTACTGTTTGATAATATTTATTTTCATTCTCTCAGCCCCTCGTTGAGACCCTGCGGCCAGTGACAGGGTCAAGAGGGACATCCCTCTGGAAGCTTTTTACCATCCAGGCAACCAGGAAACACTCTGAAAAGTGGCATTAAACTGGACCACTTGCTTTGACTTCTTTCTTGTTATTATTATCCCTTAGCCTGAGTCCCCTACCCAGCATCAGCAAAAGCACAAGCCTTCCTCAGTGGGGCAGCCCTACAGAAGGTGGCTGCCCATCGCCCCTGCATCCTCTTTTCTCCAAGCAAAGCGTACCTATTACTTTGTGGGTACGAAGGAGCAACCCATGCACCCCATAACTGGGAGAAAGGATCTGAAGCGTCTTTCTCCTTCCTGAGCTGTGAGCATCACCATAGCCTGTTAAAAGTGCTCCCCGTCTGTGTCTCTTCCAGGTGCCCGAGGCAGGTGCTCAGCTAAACAGAGGGTCAGCCCTGACCGAGAGGCAGGAGAAAGAAAAGGGGGCCGGGAGGGGGCAGGAGAAAGGATGAAAGGGAAGTCTCTTCACCTCGTTTCCCCTCCACAGGCAGAAATGGGGCTTCCCAGAGGAGAAGGCAGAAGAGCTGAGCCTCCCGTCCCCGGGCGCTTCTCCTGTCAACGCCTGGCTTGAACCATCCAACCCCCTGAGGCTAGAGCCGCCTTCGTAAGCCTTGGCCCTTTTTTTTTTTTTTGCAATTTCTCTCTGCCACGCCAGGGGTTACTTTCCTCTTATTTTAGCCATGTTGTGCTACGTTATGTATGGGATTGTGAGCGACTTTAAATCCGACTCTGCCGGGTTCCTAGGGAGCCGCAGCCGACGTGTGAAAGAACGGGAGGGTCCATATTTTGAAAGGAGGGCGATGTTTTCAAAAGTCCAAACAGCATTGTTACAATCCAAATGTATCCTGAAAATATCCAGGTTCCCCCATCCCTGCAATGACACATTCTCCCTAAAACGTTGGTCACATAAATTAGTTTTGTTTCTTTCTTTATCCCTCATGGCTGGGGCCGGGGCACGTTAGGCTGGCAGAACGCAGCGTCTCCAGGGTGAGTCAAAACAGCGACGTGATCAATGACCGCCTGCAGGAACTGGTGCGGCTGTTTAAGGACCGAACGGAGAAAGTCAAAGAGAAATTGGTGGATCCGGACCTCTCCTCTGATGAAGAAACCCCCGTGGCCAGTAAGTGAGAGCAGAGGTTCTTCCTGTGTGAGAAATTCACCCTGTAATCTTCATGCTATTTCTGAATCAACTTCTTGGAGAAAGGATTGCTCTTTACTTAAACTCTCAAAGGTGGTCTTTCTCTCTCCCTCTCCCTGTCTCTTTCTCTCTCTCTGGAGAGTCAGAACACAACATTTTATTCCCCAAATGATCAAGGTGTAGAGTAGCTCTGGCCTGGTAGATTGTCTAGGAACCTTAGATGAAATCTATCCGAAATACCACTTTATCCTTCCTGGAAGTCTTAACGCATCCACCAATAACAATATGACAACTGGTGGCCCTTTCTGAATCACCTGCCTTACTGGGAGGCTTCTCAAACCCTATTTTTTGAAGACATATTAGTTGGTTCCAGTATCTGTCACAAAAACTGGAACAAAAATGTGCTGGGGCCTTAATAAGTTATACGTTTGTTTCCTGTGGAGTTTTTCTGGACCACACGAGAAGTAAACACGTAGCACCGATAAGACTGACACAGATTTTATTTTTCATCAGCTTTCATGGGTCCAGAGACACACTTCTTCTGATGGATGGAGTGGTTGCGTCTCTGGGGAGAGAATAAAACAGTTGGCTGTTTAGCATTGTCAGTAACAGTCCCAACCCACCGATCATCCTCTTCACCAACAGAAGAAAGCTAGAGCTTTCACAGACAATAGGAGTGACTAACCACTCAGCGGTGGTGATTACAATTTTTGTGTTTGAGGAAGAAGATTATAATCCATTGAAGATGATCCTGAAATAATGTCAGTGCATGAAACAGGCAAGGTCTCAAACTCCACACCTGGACTGTAAATAAAATTGAGAAGGGGGAAATCCTGGAATACGAGCCTGCCTATTTTGCAAATTGACAAGCAGGTTTTAATGCTGGTATTGCCCTCAGAGTTTGAGCGTTTGGGCCTTTAGATCTTCTTCTGGTTCTGCAAAGAATTATTCAGTTCCCATGGCCTGTCTCAAAACAGTTTCCCCTTTCTGGTAGCAGGTAATGGTTCCCTCTAGACATGGGCATTTCGATTGTCCACAGTGCGTAGCATACACGTAACAGGAAGCTCCTTTAATCTAGATTTTTGGGCCATATGGTTCTCGGTTCTTGACTGGACTCGGTTTATTCCCCCAGCACCTTCCAAAGAGAAACCTCCGGAAGAAGAAAACAAAGACGTGGAGAAAGATGAAGAGGAACGATCCTGTGAAATGTTTTGTTGCAAATTTAAGCGCCGGCCTTTGGTGTGTCATGTGAAGAAATACCAGTTCCCCAGCAGCATTGACCCTCTCACCAGTGAGTAAGCAGAAGGGGCCTCGGGCACTGGCCAGTGCTTAAGACAAGGAAAGCGGGGGCCGACCAAAGAATCTGTTTGAAATTCCCGGTCAGCTAGGCATTGATCCCTGCTCTGCTTATGTCACCCGTACGCCACGGATCTCCCACACTAGATCGCTTGAGATGCACTCACAGTGGTCGTTATTCTGGGGGCGAGGGGGGGGGTAAGAAGAAATGTGGTCCATCTCCTATGCAGTGAATGTCATTCATCAGATCTGATGAAACTGCTTAAGGAAGCTAAAGAGAAAAGCTGGACATTTCTTCAAATCCATACGATCGCCAGTTTAGGACTCTTCACAAGCGCCTCTTCCTGCCCCATGAGGAAAAAAAAGGCAGCTCTGTGCCAACAAAACAGTCCCTGTGGATTTATTCTCTGTTTGCAGGGGACCTTTGGTGAAACCCAAGCAGCTCATTCACAACCAAGCCTTCACCGAAGCAACTGGGGGTGTGTGGTGCAAGAATATATTATTGTTGGTAAAAATCCATTCACTCTGAGAAAAGGGGCAAAGATCCAGGATGTGACCAATGAATTAAACATTCTGGCTAGTAAAGAAAGGGTACCCCATGCCCACGGGGCTTGCTTTCCTATTCAGCGGGAGAGCAACACTCCTTTCATGATGGTTGGGCTACTGCGAACAACTGCGTGAAAGGGTTTCTGTGAAACACGGTTCTCTGAGGACAGAAGAAGGAAGTCTGTTCTGCGGTTTTCAGAGTTCCCCGTTCTCTCTGTTCCTTTAGATAGCCATCCTGCAGTACGGAGGCCTGGCTCTCCAAGGAGTGGTTCTAGACACAACCAGGGATGATAACCTTTGGACAAAGTCACGCGTGCGCCCTTAAGCTGTGCTCTGCCCTCTCTCCTCCCAACCTAGATCTGATGTACGTGTTCTGGCTGTTCATTGTGGTGCTGGCCTGGAACTGGAACTGCTGGCTGATCCCCGTTCGCTGGGCTTTCCCGTATCAGACTCCCAGAAATGTCCTCTATTGGATGGCCGTCGATTACCTCTGTGACGCCATTTACATTCTGGACATGGCGCTCTTCCAGGTCCGCCTGCAGTTTGTGGAAAGAGGAGATGTCATAGTAAGTGGTGCGGAGGGAGTGAAACAATCACGCTGGATCCCCTACAGACCACCCTCTGGAGGGGGCCTGTTGTCGTGTTGCAGCTACCACACCAAACTGGACGTTATTGGTAACTTGTTAATTAGAGGGCAGGGCTCCTCAAGTGCTAAAAGGTATGGCGGTTACCACAAGAGAATGTTATCCCAACAAAAGCTTTTCAGAAGGGTCCATAAGGTACAGATTACCTTGCTTTGTTTTGTGATAGGTCATCAAGAGACGAAACCCAGGCTTCTTTTGAAAATATATTTATTTATTTAAAAACATTTTTACTCCACCTTCTCCTTAAAAAGAACCCAAAATAGGATTGTTCAGTCAGAAATGTCCGCCTGAATCATGTCTCAGAATGATTAATATGTTAGCTTCTGGTGACACCCGTTCAGGTATAGTTTGGCCCCCAGTCTTCACTATAACCCGGTCTTTTGACACTCTGGGGTTCAGTGGCAGCAGGGATCCCTGAGAAATGGGCAGAGGAGAAAGCCAAGGGCTACAAGCCACAAGCCTCTCTTTCTGTCGGCAATCATTTTGAAAGTTGGACATTTCCACGTTGCCAGACCTCCTGCGGTGAGGGACCCAGGGCTTCGTTTAGATTTGTGGCATGACGTATCCGTGTGAAACCGAGGCAGGAGAGAACCAAGGGCCTTGCCTTGTACGATGGAAAATGTTGACTAAAATGTTCTGCACAAACTAGGAGTATAGGGACATTCACGTGAAACATAGAAGTCCCACAAGAAAACGGGAAGGCAACAATCTTCCTCCCTTCTTTGTTTCCCTGGGTGTCCATTGTGTGGTGATGTGAAGGAAGGAGTGGGCATTTTTACCCTTCAAGAGATGCTTTAGGTCGGTCGGTCGGTCAGTTGGTTGGTTGGTTCTTAACCTTGGGTTACTCAGGAGTTTTGGACTGCAACTCCCAGAAGCCTTCACCACCAGCTGTCCTGGCTGGGGTTTCTGGGGATTGCAGTTCAAAAGCATCTGAGTAACAAAGGTTAAGAACCACTGGGTTAGTTGACCAACTTGTTGGTCAGGCAGTCAGCCAGCTGGTCAGTCGGCCAGGCAACATGTGACCTGTGAGCTTCCCATACTAATTAATAATTATGTGCCCATCAAGTCCATTCTGAATTATGGAGACTTTTTTTCCCCAGGTATGTACAGGACTGGTTGCCCTATCCTTCTTTCAGGGGGACAGGGGCTCTGAGGCTGTGCAACTTAGATTTTCTCCCAGGAGGCCCTGTGGGGAGCTGTATTTCCAAGATAGGCTCCACAGTCAGATATATAACTCATGACTTACCTCATCCAGTCAGTTTTATCATACTGAAGCTTATGAAAACGTTCTCTCTCTCTCTCTCTCCTTTTTCTTCTCTTCTAGACTGACAAAAAAGCCATGAGGAAGAACTACCTGAGGTCACGTCGCTTCAAGGTCTGTATGCTTTTTCCTCATTTTTTCCCCCTCAGCCATTTCAATGTGTAAAACATGGACCAGTTTACAGATGTTAAATATTCCAGTTTGGAGGTGAAGGGGTAATTAATGTAATTTTATTTACCACCTGCTGGGCAAGGTTTCCTGCTCCTTCTGATTTCCAGGCAGCACCTCCAAACTGCTCACTCCATTGAAGCAAAACCCAGATGGTGTATTATTTTTGCAACCAAAGTACTTCACTGCTCCAAAGAGATGTGCAATTAATGGGGGGAAAAGCATGCCAGGTTGCTAACCGTTTTTGGACTTTTGTGCCATTACAGATGGACGTGGTCTGCCTTCTTCCGCTGGATTTTCTCTACTTCAAAGTCGGCGTCCATTCTCTCCTACGGTTGCCTCGCTGTTTGAAGGTGAGCCAGCCAAGGGTGGTACAGGACGGTTCCTAGCAAAAGACCCAGAGGATTTCCCATTTTGCTGGCTTTCTTATGTGCAACTAACTCCTCAGCCTTTTCTTCTTCTAACGTGAAATGTAAAAATAATTACCAGGGCTAAACCTCACAAACCTAAGGATTTTACCACACAGGTGTTGGTAAAATGAAGTTGTTTCCCTGGTAGGTTAAAAATGTATCTTCCTTTTGAGATCAGCAGGGAAGAGAGAGTTTGGGAATTCTACCAATTCCCTTTTTGAAAAGCTTCTCCTTCTCTTCTTGAATTCTCTCCTGCAGTACCTGGCCTTCTTTGAGTTCAACAGTCGGCTTGAAGCGATTCTCAGCAAGGCCTATGTTTACAGGTAAGGCGATCTGTGGCTGGAATATCCTGCAGGGGATCTGTCACAACAACAAAAAAATGCATTGAAAAAAAACAGCGCTCCCAAGATGTATATGTGTTGTTATAAATACAAGTTAGCAATCAGAGAACAAGCAAGAAGACACCAGCTGTAAAGAATTGACAGTCTTTTTTGTATTATACATTTCAGTATATATTTCTGAATTGTTTTCCACACGTGGAACATCGTATAACTTACTTGACAGCCTTGTCCTGCATTTTGGGGAGAGAGAAAATCTAACTTCCAGAAACTGCACCGTTTTCAATAATTGTCCCTGCTGCTTATTACGATATTCCCCAAAAATAAGGTTCTGGGTTTGTTGGTGCTGCTCTGCTACCCATTCATTGGCGTTCCAGTCACTGCCGAGATTTTCTGTCTTGCTCTGTTTTTCTGCTATGACATTGGCGTTCCAGTCACTGCCGAGATTTTTTTGGTAATCTGTTTTGCTGTTTTTCTGCTATGACTCTTTAGCTGCTAAAAATAATTAATCTGTCTTCCTGGAATGACTGCCTCTTTTAAAAAGGGGGAAGGAAGATTTTCAGTGAAGTGCTGTGAGTTTTGTCCTTTGAGAACACTGACAACCGAAAAGATTCGAATGTATTCCAAACGATTCTGCCAAACCCAGCAAACAAGATATTTAAAAAATGTGGCAAGAACGGTTAAGCAAATTTGCAAAAAGGGGAGATTAAAAAAAGCAGACTTGCACAGTCTTGTTCGAGACAAGAAAGGAGAAAAGGGAGGGCTGGCATTCCTTGAAGTATAAAAGGCCTGTTAAGCAGCGGACTCCCCTTAGGAAAAGAACAATTCATTGTTAAACCAAATATACTCAGCAATACAGACATCAATGAAAAACGAAGGAGCACAATGCTCTGTCAGAGAGTTTAAGGATCTATGTGTACAGCTGGAAAAATGCTTATCAAGGTCAAGTCTCCCAAAATATAATTGGAGAGTTGATACAAGATCCACAAGAATGCAAGGAGCCAAACTGTCATGAGAAACAGGCCTCTCATTGTTAGCATTTTGCCACAACAATAGGAGAACATTTGGGTAAGGCTACCATTTAAAACAGTGTCAGCTCAGATCAAGGAGAATACCTTGAAAACAGTCTCGAGGTGGCACTGAAGCCCTGTCTGGCTCTTGAAAAGGAATGTCCAGATTTCTCCTGCATGTTGGAGAGAGTATGTGGCTGAAGGGGAACCGACAGTGGGGATGACCAAAAGTGGAAGTATTTTTGGGGGGGAGGAAGTGGTTGATTCTATTTCAAAAATTACTGATCAAATTGTGGGATTTCATTGGGTTTTGTGTAGGGTCTAATGAATGCCTGCCGCACACGCACTTAATAGCCTTCCTAGCAGTGACAGCGTGGCTAGAAATAGCCACATAGAGGAAGACGCAGGAGGGCTCGGTGACAGAGAACAGGTTTAAAAGAACATGACAGCCAGCGCTGATGGAAAAAGGAACCCATCCTCTCTGAGAGGAGACAGTCAAAAGAGATGGCCAAGCCGGACCCCTGTTTCTGGACCAGCCAACCCTTTCATTGTATCCCAGATGCGTTTTAGGTATAAGGTTGACCAGTAAGCCTTCGAAGGAGCCCAAAAAGCTGCCTTCGTTCTGTCCGGTCAATAGTCTCTCAAGGGCACCCAACGATAACGGCACAAGTCGATGTTTAGCCGATCATCTTGGAGAGTCTTTCTGACCTTCTTCAGCTTCTTCGAAGGCCGGCTGCCTTTTGCCTCTTCCCTTGTTCCTGCTTCTTGAACTACAGGTGAAGAGATTGGTTATTAGCCCAGATTGCAAGCAGTGACACCTTCCACCAACCCTCTTCTTTCCTTTCATCCTCTTTGCAGAGTGATCCGGATCACCGCTTACTTGCTCTTCAGCTTACATGTGAACTGCTGCCTCTATTACTGGGCCTCTACCTTCCAGGGATTGGGCTCTACCACGTGGGTGTATGATGGAGAAGGAAACAGGTAGCCGTTGTTTGTTTGCTTGCTTTCTGCCCCGGCCGAATGCCTTCGTGTCGTAGGACAGAAGTAGGCTCACACAAACAATCGTAGCCATTTTCTTATGGGCTTCGTGTCTGTTTCTTTTTTTTAAAGCTACGTCCGCTGCTATTACTGGGCTGTCAAGACCTTAATAACAATCGGAGGACTTCCTGATCCGCAGACCCTCTTTGAGATTGTCTTTCAACTCCTCAATTACTTCACGGGCGTCTTTGCTTTCTCTGTCATGATAGGCCAGGTAAGAAAACTGGGAATATCTTTGCCTTCCTGATGGTGAGCATGAGCTCCTGAAATTGTCCCTTTTGATGCGGTTTGAAAGAAGTGTGTGGGTAGTGTTGTTTTTTCCCCCCACATTTCCTATAAAAGCTGATTTTTAATTTCTGCGCACAAAGGAACACTAGAAACACCGAGTGAGATGAAACCTGGATGTTAAGAGCATGTCTTTAAAGGGTGATTCTCTCCCCCCCCCACCCCCGATATACAGAGCAGCATAAGAAGAAGAACTGACCATGCTGCAGAGATCTTTAGAGACCTGCTGGGTTGTATTCTGTAGAGATCAGCTCTCTGGGTCAAGTGGTTGTTCCCAAGATTAGGCCTCCTTCAGTCTCTTGAGAGAAGATGGTCACATGCTCTGCAAGGAGGACTTGGAACAGCGTCTCGTGTGGCTGAGGAGGCCAATTCGAGAGTGACACCATCCCTTCCACACTGAGAACAAATGCAATCCCAAGGGACACCCCTAGAAAAGCAAACTTATCAGCATTCAAGGCTCACCTTCACAATAGTGATTGCACCACCGTCCCACCAAATGGGCTCCTTTGGCGAACGCCTGATCGAGACACGCCGTATGCGTGAGTGCCACTGCACCGTGGCCTCTCTCCTCGGACAGGCTGGCTTCCATGCAACTGGCCACACGCCTAATTTTGCAATAAATGCATGGCTGGTCGTGCAAGAGAGACCCTGCTAGCATAGGAGAAAATGGCTGTGGGGTTGCCTCCGGGCATAGGATTCTGGCTTATTTTCCTCGAGGAATTTTAGGACCGTCTGTTTCTCCATTTCTTTCACTAGCTAATTAATTAAAATGAAATTTATTCACTCAGGTTGTTCAAAAATGTACATCATGCCAGATAAGAAATCCCCGGAATATACCCCCTTCTTCTGTCTTGCACAGATGAGAGATGTTGTTGGTGCTGCCACGGCTGGACAGACGTACTACAGGACCTGTATGGACCAGACGGTCAAATATATGACTTTTTACAGGATCCCCCATTCTGTTCAGAACCGAGTCAAGACCTGGTACGAGTACACGTGGCATTCCCAAGGCATGCTTGGTAAGCAGGAGCGGAACGTGGGCTTCATCCGGGTCAATTTCCGGATGCTCGGAGCTGCTGTTCTCCAGTTCTTCTGAGCTGGAGGTGGGGTCCCCCTCCTCTCTTAGGTTTGCACATCTAAAAAGGCAAATTCCTAGCACACGGGCATGTCAAGAGTTCTAGAGGTCAGCAAACTCTTCTGGGATGAGTTCACCCTCAGCGGGACACGCGTCTAGCTCCAGATTGGCAGGTTTGGGTGAAAGGACCCTTAATGGCAAGTGATCTTTCAAAAGCTTTCCGGGTTGGCTTTTTTGATTTTGGGAAATGGAGATTTTCCCAGGAGGAGGAAGAAAACCAGCGGCAGAAGTATGTGAGGTGAATTGGCAGTCAAAGGAAGACGGAGGAGATTTGCCATCCAAGCCTTGGGTGCTTCAGCTTCTTAGATTCAGGCTTATTTTAGTTTGCAACTGTCTTTTCCTTCATGCAAAATCCCAGTGTTTTTTGTAAAACCTTTTACAGGATTACCCTGCCTCATTTATGACGGGAGTCTCCCACCTTTCTTTATACATTCTCATTCACTTTCCTTCACCAGTCCCCACTGTGCTTCTGGTAACTATTAGATGCACGCAATTGCTGGTATTTTCCACTGGAAATAGTGTACATTAAATGGAAAAATTCAGCTAAGCCTGTGTGGGCTTTATGCAATCTAGGGAGGGCAATTTAAACAAACTAATGGAGAAAGGTATTTGTAAATCCCCAGAGCTTGGCGAATGTCAGTTTTTAAGACCTGAATTCCCAGAATCTGAGGGAGACTGGGAGCTGTACTCCAAAAAAGGAACACTTCTGGAGGTCACATTAATCAGTAAAGAGGGTCAGGTTGTCCCAAGGCAGCCATTGCCACACTGAATGGCATTTTGACCTGCGACTGACCCTTTGAATCTCCTGCTTGTCTGGTCATGAGCAGAGTCTTGGCTGCAATACTGCAATTTAACCACTGTGCCACGAGACTCCTTGAAATGCAGTTTTTAAAAAGTAGAATCAGATGACATCACAGTTTTGCAATCTGAAGCAGGGATGCCTTGAGATGTAAATGACATTTTGTCACCCTCTTATGATGTTTACATCAAGAGGAGCTAAAAAAATTGGTTTGCTTAGTGCAAACATAGCAGCTTTGGAGAACACACCTCTGGAGAGGTAACACTTTATCCCCTTCTAATTGAAAAGCTGCCCCTTCATCGGTTTGGGCCCTGACCCTTCCGTTGCCACAAAGCTCTGAACCCTGGCTTCAGGAGAGGCAAATGCCTTGTTGTGATATTTCCTTTGCTACAGACGAGTCAGAGCTGCTGATGCAGCTGCCGGAGAAGATGAAACTGGACATAGCTGTGGATGTCAATTACGACATCGTCAGCAAGGTGCCGCTCTTCCAGGTACCCTCCTCTCTCTCCTTGGGGCTGGGTTGGCCCGAACTCTGAGCTGCTTGCACAAGCCCGACCCTGCCTCCTCTCTTTCTTTCTTTGCCTCCAGGGCACCGGCAAATGATTTTCGACATGCTGAAGAGGCTCCGCTCGGTTGTGTACTTACCTAACGACTATGTGTGCCAAAAGGTAACAAGCAGCATAAAAGCAGGGGGAAAGTCACCCTGCGGTGAATTGCAGCAAGGAAAGAAGGAAAGCTTTGAGGAGTATTTTGCCTCCTTCAGGAGGAGGGCTCTCGTTTTCCCCGCTCTTCTACAAGAGGTTGGGATATTCCCAACCTTTTGGTATATATCCCAATCAATCAATCAATCAATCAATCAATTTTCCAACTTTTTCAAAGGGGTCCTATATCTATCTATCTATCTATCTGTCTGTCTGTCTATGTAAAAGTTGGAAATGCTTGTGGATTATTTCCTATTTCTTTTAAGGTCCAAATATTTGTCTCCTTCCCTGTTTTATTGTTCAGGATTTTTCAGAAGCTTATCACAGACAAACCCTAAAGCTATATAAAGACCTCAGACATAGGACTAACTACCTGCTTGTGCTATGGAAATATCACACACACACACCCCAAAAAAACCCAGGGTTAGGGAGCAATAGGGGTTCCCTATGGTGCCAAAGGGGGAGGGGGACACAAAGCCTTCTTCCCTGCTGTACATCCCCATGGGATGGTTAGCGCAGAGCAGAAAGCCTTGATCATAGAAACTGGGCCCAAAGCAGGCTGGCCACCGAAGCCTGGCCCACAAACCAGCCTAAATGTGTTCAGAGAATCCTTTTGGGAAGTCAAGAGATGAACTGCCACCAAAGAGGCACATGAGGATTTTCTCTCCAGGGAAGTAGGGATAAAAGGTTATAAGATGTTGAAGAGGAAAAAAAAAGTGTCCCCATGTTTTAGATCTCTTTGTATCGATTGTCTTTGATTCAGGGAGAAATCGGCCGAGAAATGTACATCATTCAAGTGGGAGAGGTCAAGGTGCTCGGAGGACCCGATGGCAAGACCGTGCTGGTCACTTTGAAAGCTGGATCGGTGTTTGGAGAAATAAGGTGAGCGGCCAGGGGGGAACCCACTTTCTGAAGAGCTGGGATTTGTTGTTGTTGTTCTTTTAAGGGTGGTGAGTTTCCTGCCCTTCCCTTGTTCTGCTTTGTTAGGGGCAGGGTCTGGGCAGTAAGAACTCATGGGCTTGGAAATGCTCTGTGTGAGCACAAGTCAATGAACAAACACAACAGCTCTCCCTCACCCCCACAAAATTCATTTTAAAAAAAAGGTTCTCTCCTGTCTTGTCTGCGACTCCCCTCCTGCTCATTGGAGAGAGGGGGTGAGGAACCACAGCCCCTCTCGATGAGTCACAGTCCTACAATTCACGAGCAGCAAAGCCCAACGCACAAAACTGCTCCTGTAGCCCCTGACGCAGGGACACGGACGGTCCGCCTCACAGCATCCAGAGCGGCATGGACCGGTGACAGCCAGCGCACTGTAAAGTTTAGGCAACCGTAATGCAAGAGGGTAAGAAAGAAAGCCCAACCCAATCTGGATGGAGGTCTACTTGGTGTTTCCCTCTTTCCATTAGCTTGCTGGCCGTGGGAGGCGGGAACCGGCGCACCGCCAATGTCGTGGCCCATGGGTTTACTAACCTTTTCATCCTGGAAAAGAAGGATTTGAATGAGATTTTAGTGCATTATCCAGAGTCTCAGAAGCTGCTACGGAAGAAAGCCAGGTAGGAGAACGGCTGGCAAAGTCAGCCTGCGCGGCATCGTTCTTATCATATAAAGGAGCTGGAGACGCTTTCATGTTCTGAACGTTCGCAAGGTGTGTGAGAGTAAAACTATTAAGTTTTCTCACGGTATGAGAGTAAGCAAGGCGTGTGGGTTTTTAGTCATACAATAAAGTTGGTGAAACTGTTAGGAAAAAAAATGAGCCATTATGAAGAAGGTTCTGTTGCAGATAGAAAAGCCTAAACCCTTACCCTGACTAGATAGACATGTCCCTTAAAAGGCCCACCGGAGAGGAGCAGATGCGAAAGAGAACGGGAAGGAAGTGGAGTGGCTTGACGGACCCATCGGAAGAGATACGAGAGAGGCCTCCGGCTCCTCTCCTCCCAAAGGTCCCCTTGTGGGGCCAAGAGGGCTCATTACAAGGGAGGAGTAATTACAGGGGTTTCATTAAAGTTCTAGATTAAGGACTTCCCCAGAAAACCCCACAGAGACTTCACAAATGGTTCACAGTGCCCCTGATTTCAATGAATCGAGATTCTAAAAGCAGTAACAACATCATGAAAATGGGCTGGTCTACAAAGATTGTGCCATTAAACACTGCAAAAGAAAGTAAATATTCCCTCACCGTAACCATAGATTGGTTGTGTAAAACTAGACCTAACCCCACCCCTGGGACCGTCCATTTAAAGCAATTATTCACCCCCATGGGAGAGAGCCAAACTCTGATTCTTGAGTGTGCAGTAATGAGCATGGTTTCGTGGCCCATTTGGGGGGCAGGAGATCCGGATCACACCCTAAAAGGGGGAACCTGATTAAAAGTGAGCAACCCTGCAGTGACCATTTTTTAAAAAGAAGGGATGTTTTCATAGGTTTGTCTGCTTTGCAACGTGTTCTATACCAGACCGGGCAGTGAGGGACAAGCATCAACCATCATGAGACTAAGATAATTTAAATTCTGCCTGGAGAATACAAAATATTGTAATATTTGTAATTATATTCCTTATGGGATTTTTTTTTCATACTTACAAAAAGCACTTAGAGAGTTGCACTGATGGGAAGGCAATAGAAATTAAGATTTAAAACCCCCCAGAAAAACTCAAATACATGTTTAACAACATATATTTTGACATTTTTCAGATGCTAACCAAAACAAATACTCTTCTTCTCCACAGACCTGTCAAAACCTCTATTTGTATCATCGTGCTTGCTCTTAAATTGATGTTAAAATATATATTTGAAGGCTAGAGGAAGGGTGGTGGGAAGGTAAAATTTTGAAAAGGTAGATTTGTGAAAACACACCATTGTTGTTTACACGTGCGGTTTCAAGCTGTGCTAAGTTGTTTTTTTTAATCTGCATCTGCGCTTCTGAAAAAGAAACAAAAAACATAAGCAGCTCACCGCTGGGGGGGGGGAATTATGTTGAACACCACCCAGAATCAAGCGCTCCATGTTTCTCCCCCCCCTCCCCCGGCCCCCAGGAGAATGCTCAAAAACCACAGCAAGCTGAAAGATGGCAAAGGCGTCCCGCTCATCATCCCTCCAAAGGCGGGGACCCCGAAACTCTTTCAAGCCGCCTTACTTGCAGCCGGAAAGATGGGAGGAAAAGGGCGCCTGGCTCACCTCCGGTGGAAGCTGAAAGAGCTGAAAGCCATGCAGGTAATAAAAAAAAAGAAAAAAGGATGCAGGTCTGCAATTGCAGAGATGAACAGGATGGGGTGGGGGGGACACCAGAGAGCTCCCCAAAAATCAAGTTTCATTATACGTGTTTATTATGTACTTTGCCACCAAGTCCAGAATTTCCCTCGTTTTTTCCTCTGCCTCTTTCCCTCTTTGTTCTGTCGCTGTATAAGCATTTCCTCCTAGACAGGGTCAATTTGGGCCGGAATCTGCAAAAGGACTCAAACACAGACAGTTGTGCAAAATGTGTTACTCTTTGTGGCACAGAAAAGGAGCGTGAGTCCTGATGCCATGCCACCCCTTTCTTTCCTTCCCAGGCCACCAACGCCAGCCCAGTGCCACCGAGGTCCCTCGTCAGCCGGGGTTCTCCGAATGGCACCCCCAAACCGGATGACAGCAGCGCGGAGAAGGGCCTCCCAGACAGTTCCGATCACTCTGTCCGGGTTCGCATGAGCTCGGCATCCGAAGGGGGTGAGGAGATTCTCTCGGTGGAGGTTTTCGAGAAGGAGAACGCCAAGTGAAAAAAGGCAGATGGTCAGGGCCATCATCACCTACGAACAGGAATGGCCCCTGAGGGACAGGGGAGCACCCCACTTTGGCTGTTTAAAGGTTCCAAAAGTTTGGCATATTCTGCTAGCGGAGACCAATAAACAGCTGCAAAAGGATCACTTAAAAAGAGGAAATTAAATTTCCGAGAGGCTCTCTGTCTTTGCATAAGGCAATAGTGGCTTTTAACCCTCTAAACGGTCAGTGAACATTAATTTGCCTAAAGCATTCACAGCCAGTATTTGCCTTGTAATATTATATGCAGTTTTAGCAACCAGTTTTAGGAATCAGCTCTTTCCCCCCCAAAAAAATTCAAGAGAAGAAACCACAGGTTTAGGCAGGCAACCAACAGGTCAAGCAGTCTCAGCTGTAAGAGGCAACGCCATAATCTCCCTGGGAACCTGCCATCCAGAGGCTGGGAGGCTGAGAGTATTTCAAACATTCGCAAGAAGGTATGGTATGCTTTCATGTCCAAGTCTGGTTCCACAGTCCACCGGCATGGCAGATGGTCAGATTCTGCACCTGTTGGATGTATTCTAATCTGCTGGAAGTCCAAGATCAGTGGCTGCCTCCCAGTAGCTTGCTGTTGCTTTGAATACAACTTCACCCTAATAAATGGCATTATTTCTGTTGGTGGGCATGGATGGACCTTTTTTTAAGGTACTCGGGATCATGCAAATGCCTCTGTCAGCAGCAGAAGTCTGTCTTACTCTGCCGGGCAGCAAGTAGAGGGGTTCATGGTGGCATCCACCTTTCCCTGGAGAGAGGCTGGCAAAACAGAAGGCTGCCTTGCCACCGAGAAGGAAACAGCTTTTCTTGGAATATTACACTGCTGGGATGCTCACTAGGGTGAAGCAATGGTTTCAATGGCCAGTAGGTGGTAGTAATAAGGCTGCTGGGAGATGATCTAAGACTAATAACACGTCAAGTCAATTCTCACCTAGGGTGACCCTTTTTCAGGGTTTTCCAGGCAGGGATCCCAACTCAGAAATGGGTTGTCCTTCCCTTCTTCTGGAAGGGTGCCCTGCCACCATGTGCAGCTTGCCCAAGGCCACCCAGGCTAGCTGTGCTCGCGGGAGGCAGGGTGGGGAGTCGTGCTCGGGCATTCAAAGGTATCGGCGGGCAAGGGTTGGGGAAAGCATCATTGCAGCTCCTTTGCCTTTCCTGCGTTTGGTTACACGACCCCATTTGGAGGAATGGAAGCATAAACTGTGTTCTAAAGAGGTGTTGAGTTTTTAATCTCACGTTTCCTTGCATGAAAGTGCAGCCACCATGTCCATGACAATAGTTGGTGGCCTGAGCTCTAATATGCCTCTTTTACAAAACTTTGGAGAAGGAAAACTCATAAAAGATTTGAGGTTCTTCTTGGAGGTACTTTAGCTCAATCATGATGAATTCTCTTACCTCCTTCCGGCTGGTTAATATCTCACTGGTGGTGGACGAATTCTGCTTGAAAGGAAATGCCTGAGATCTGGAAGGCGAAGCACGCCTGGTGCGTGGCGGTTCCTCTTTAGCCCTTTCTTTTTACACCAATACGGAAATGCTGTCTCCTTTACCTAATCTGATTGTGACGAAAAAGCAAACACCCATAAGGCACTTCCTATCTTTATCACACGGCTAGGACTCATAGCTTCCAACTAAGAGCTAACATATTGATTGTTCTGGGCCTGCAATGAAGGCCAGGAGGAGAACATGCTGTTTTGCAATACCTGCCCCTTTAAATGCTACAAAGAGCAACTCCATCTCCATGGTTCGTTTTGATTCGAACCCATGAAAGAAGCAAGGAACTGCAAGGTGCTCGCCACCGTTATGTGACTCATTGCTTCCAGAGTGCAGCTACGAAGCAGGGAGAAGGTGGCTGGATCTGCTCTCCCCCCCCCATTTTTATCAAAGGGGAGTTTCTGAAGGTGACATTGCTGTAGCCATTCCGACAGGGTGTCAGCCAGGTTCAGAAGCAGAGAGCTGCGGTTCCACAGAGCGCCCTTTAGTTATGTCCTGTCAAGGTGGAACCGCTTAAAGCGACCCTAACAGGGCTTTCAAGGTGAGTGAGGTATTTAAGGTTTCGCTAGTTCTGGATCCCACCGATGAGCTTCCGCGAGGTGAGTGAGGTATTTAAGGAGTGGTTTCGCCAGTTCTGGATCCCACCGATGAGCTTCCGCAGCTGAGCAGGCCTTTGAACCCAGGCCTCCTGAGTCCCAGTCTCTCGCTCTATCCACGGCACCACAATGAGGTAATCGACACGCTCCGGCACTTGGCTTGAGCTCAACCAAGCAGCTTTCCCTGCAGAAGCAGTGTCTCTAAACTGTGTTTTTGCTCCTGAACCTCATCAAACTCTTATGCCCCAGGCCCAGTCTTCCCAGTTTGCTCCTCTCCGCCCTTCTGTGCTTCCTCTCTTCCTGCACTCTTCTTCCCCAGATCATCCGAACCGGGCATTGCATACTCCCTCCACCCCACTCCTCCAGAAATGATGGAGAAGCGAGCCTCTGTTCTCTGCCTTGAGACTTCAAGGAAGGCGTCAACCAGGAGTCCGACAACATAGTCCCGGCTGTAACCAAAGCTAGAGTTTGGGGCGATGGACGCTCTTAAACGCCAAACATGAATGTCAAGGTCTCTTTGAGGAAGAGCGTCCTGATGTCATTCCCGCCAAGGTTAATTAATCCCTTCATCTGCCAGAGAATAAATTAGAAGTAAGGAATTACGGACTTCCAATGTACGTTGCAGTGTTCTTAAAGGGGACGATATAAATCCCTGGTAATGAGATTGTGTTGCTATTTTCTCTGCTAGCTTGAAAGAGAGTCACTTTCTGGTCACCTTGTTTCGTCATACTAATAAGGTCCTGTAGTAAAGCTTCACTGGCCTTTCCCGGGCCAGGCTGGGCCAACAGCCACCTGGCCATCTTCTGTCTTCTGAAGAGACCAGGACTGGGCCCCCAGGAGAGGCTGTGCCCAGAATAGTCTCCTAGAGACGTTTCCAGAACAGAGGGAGCCTACCTTGTGCTCTCAAAGCTGTGGGCAAGTCTTGATTCTTGACTTGCTGAGCCTTTCGTTGTTCTTGGCTCAGCATCGTCCAGGAGAGGAGAGGCAAATTCTAAATAATGGTTCAACGGTACAACTTATGTCAGCAATGGGCCGATTCACCCCTTTTCTTCTATGCAGCCATCGGCTTCTGCCAAGTGGCCTTCTCCAATTCACTCTTCACTGTTTTCAAGTTCCCTTTGATTTCTGGAGCATCTCCACAGCCCTTAACTTCTGAGGAACATCTAGGCAGGAGTTCAAAGATGCTTTTGTAGGTCATCTTATTAAAAGAGAGAGAGAGAGAAGTTTGGTTTTCCTTATGGTTTGGGAAAGCAAATCCAAAGATTCTTTCCCTTTCTTTTACTGTTTGTTTGCTTGAGCTGGGCTGATGAGAGCGACAGTTAGCAATTAAGTCTTGGAAACTTACAATATTTCCAAGCAGCTGGGCAGCCAGAGAGCTAGAGGTAATCTGTTGGGGAATTACTTTGCTGGGTAAATCGACTGCTTTTAAAAAGCTCCGCCAGTTTTGCCCTCTATAAGCTGATTGTGTCGAAGCAGCAACTGTAGTAACCGGAAACCGCTGCTGGGCCATATATGTACCTTATCTCAGCTGTTTCTCTTTCAAGTCTGGATCTCTAGTGGGTTTTCCCTCCTCAAAGGGTGGCTTTCCGGGGTGTCAAGAGTTGTCCAGGTAGAACGAAAGGCCCTGAGTCAAGTTCTTGTGCGTTGCCGTTCCTGGTGTCCAATTTATGTCTATCAGTTCTTTTGCGCAAATATTGTTCAGTTTGCCCGAGGTAGAGGGCAGAGGGACAGCGCTGGCGACGGGTGGCGTCGATCACGTGAGCAGAGGCGCAAGGAAGCCTGCCCTTGATGTTGTTGTGTGACATTGCTGGGTAAGAGGGCTGTCATTGCGTTGCCAGAGTAGATGAGGGGACAGAGCTGGCCTCTGGGATCGTAAGCAGGATTTAATTCCCACCTCCATGTGAAAGTTGTGCAGTCTGCTGTGTGTCAACAGTTGCTTGCGATGGGGCAGGGGGACTGTCTGTAAGCACCTACAGGCCTGCCACCAAAGGCTTGGAAGAGTGATTATTCACAGCCAGATAGCTGTTCCGCAGGCCTGCCACCAAAGGCTTGGAAGAGTGAAGGACTCTTGCCTGGTAGACTCATCATGGAAATTATTCACAGCCAGATAGCTGTTCCATGACTAACAAACGGTGTCCATTATCTGCCCCCGCTCCAAACCTGGCCAGGAAGCTATGTACAAACATGACAGCCCCCGACTCTCCTTCTATCTGCCCCCGCTCCAAACCTGGCCAGGAAACTATGTACAAACATGACAGCCCCCAACTCTCCTTCTTCTGTCTGAGGAAGTGGACCTGATCCATTGTAGCTCCCATTAAAATACAGCCGTTCATCTCTAAGGCGCCACCATGCGTTTGTCCCTTGGCGGTGGCGGCGGTGGCTGTTTTTTTGCTTTTGCTCTGTTTTGGGTCTGAGGGGCTTGCACAGACCATTAAAATACAGCCGTTCATCTCTAAGGTGCCACCATGCATTTGTCCCTTGGTGGCGGCGGCTGCGGCTACTTCTCAGAAAACGTTTGAAAGCTAAACTTCCCAAGCTATGACCTGGAGCCGGGTTTAATGTCAACAGACGAGTGCCAAGGACAGGCAGGAGCTGCCACTGGTTAAAATCCGCATTATCTGTGGGCCCCGACTCCTTTCCCAACCACCCTGGCGATTTATCAGATTTGGCAGGGCATGTAATCTTACAGCACTTCGCGTTCTTGGAAGTATCCGTTGTTGAAGCAGCCTAGGAAGGGAACCCTGGCGCATGCAGAGGACTGAGAGAGAAGACTGGCCAGTGAAACCATCCAGCCTCCCCCCTGAATTCAATTAGGGGGAGGCTCCTGACTGTGTGGCATTACTTTGCATTCATTGTTTATAAGTGGTGCTTTGTTATCGGCCACTTTGAGCTTTCCCCTGGGAAGGAAAAGCAAGTTATGTAAGTCACCGATTAAATGGAAGGTGATTCAGTTTCAGCATTGGCCTTGATTCATTCCTCCACCCACACTTTTAACTCACCTATATATATATATATACAAGACAACCTCCTCTCCTCTCTAAAAGTTAAAAACAAAGACACCCTTCTTTAATTGTGCTGACAATTTAAAAAAAGAAGACGAAAATTGCATAATTTGTTTTATGACTTGATATCTGAAAACAAGAAACATGTGATGAGGAGACAGAAGAAAAGATACATGTTGGGGTTTGCTTTTTTTTGCACAAGGAAGGCATTTTGCTGTGGGCAGCTATTCTGAATCTGGCTTTTTCTCTAAAAATCACCAGCAACCCAGACGCTCAGAAGCAATCCTGTTACTGAATTCGGAGAGTGCTTGAAGATCAGGCTTTGGTCACTGGGGCTACACAGCGGCTTGGAGTCCCCATGGACTTAGTGGGGCTTGCTTCTGAGTAGACCTGGGCAGGATTCCACTATGCAATTAACAATCTTTGTTGTTAAAATTGTTGAGAATCATTCTGCACACAGCAGATGACATGTAACTATTAGCTGGAGACTGCTTTTATATTCTTAAAAAATGTGAGAGAACAAAGAGAAAAATGCACACCTCCACAAGGATCCCTTCTACTACTTCCATGCACTTATGAATGCTGTTAAAGTAGGAGAGGTTGCTGGAGTTTGTCGAGTGCAGCCAAAGCTGGTTTTGTGTGAATCCAAAAGGAAGCTGGCCTTAAACTACGAAGTTCTCTTAGACTGTTGGTCGTTCTTGTGAACAACGATGAAGCCCCGATCACCAAAACTCCTTAAGGAAGGCTGCCTTGTGCAACTTGCAAAATATTTCATTTTCAAAGAAAGGCTGAAAGACTTTCCGAATGCTAGCAGGGTTAATTCATATATTGTGCGTGTCCAGTAGAATGCAACTGATCTATATAAAGAGGCCAGTGTGCCGTGATGTGCCTTTTGCGTTAGCCAGTCACTGCTGCAGGCCCTTTTAACACATATTTGTCAAATGTCTGCATGAACACAGTGAGGCAGAGAACGCTGGCCTGAATTCAGTTCCCAGTCCCGACTGCAGTGGCCTCGTCAAATCGAACGCTGGACAGTAAATGAACCATTACATTAATGCCCATTGATTCCGGGGGGGGGGTCTACTCTAGCTGGCACTGGCAGCTGGATTCGGGCTCTGCGCTCCAGACCGCAAGCAGCTGTAGAGGAGACCCCCTTTATTGCCAGAAAGGCTGGTAATTCCTCAAGTTTGACTTCTCAGCCTAGCGGGACAGGGCCAACCTGGGACCTTACTGGTGGAGACAGAGGACTCGTGACTTTTAGCCGCTTGGTTTAAGGAAATTTTTGCGGGTTTTGAGGTTTCCAGCACAGGTTTAATTACAGTATAGGGGAACTTTTGGTGAAGGCCCGCTTATGCTTCAGAGGCGCATCAAGATCCCTCAGGGGGATCCATCAGGGCGGCCGCATCCGGACAAGCCTTTCATGGTGACCCTCCTTGCCCAGAATTTCCCTGAAGAAGCTGTTAAGGAGGAAAAGGCAAACAGGGATCATCCACCTCCATCATCAGAGGTCTGGGGAGCAGGTGCACGCACCCTGCGGACTAGCCTTTCATGCTGACCCTCCTTGCCCAGAATTTCCCTGAAGAAGCTGTTAAGGAGGAAAAGGCAAACAGGGATCATCCACCTCCATCATCAGAGGTCTGGGGAGCAGGTGCACGCACCCCCACCTCCACCCTCGGCCAGGGGGTCTGGCCGGCTGCCCCCATCCAGGTGCCCCAGCTCTGGCCGGCGGGGGGGGCGGGGGGGGGGA